TAAAAAATACATAGGAACTGTAATTAGTTTGGATCGTGCCATATATTACTTCTCTTTTGTCAAGTGTGAGAGTCCAAAATAAACTCAGGCATTGTGGCTGATCTGGAGACTTGTCCTTAGCAACACTGATCTTCACGGTTATTTTCTTTTGGATCACAAAGATTGCTCCTTGTGGGGATGACTTGGGGAAGGTTTTTCTGGATACAATGAATACYACTTCCATTCCTGCAATTGTAAAATCCTTTAACTCTTCCCTCCACAGAGTGATACTGCCTGGTACCATAATGGCAAGGAGAGAAACAAGTTGATGCCCTACAGTAGTGCTGAGAGCCAACCAACTCATGCTAGCAGTGGAGCATCACATCTGCTGTTGACTTTCCTTCAACATAATATTCTCAATTCTAACTTCCAATCCACATGTGTGAATAGGCAGGTACCCTCTGATGTAGTTTGGATCCTTCACTCTAAATTGTTTTTCTTTCCTATGTGATAAAGGTTTTGTCCTGACACATAATTGTGGTATCAGCCTGTAGGGCTGACTGAACCACAATCTTAACCGACTAATTATTACAAAGGAGAACAGCAGTGGGAGGCAACGGCATCAGCACTGAATGGCCCAAAGAAGATCCTTCTTGTACTAAGGTTAAGCTACTAGGAAATATTTACACTCACTTCTCCACTTRCTTTGTGTCTGGGAGATATGTGCTCAGAAAGAGGTTGCTTAACCAATATAATATCAGCATGCAACCTGCCATGTGTACTGCGGTGCAGGAGGCAGGGAGGTTATGCCAGCAGCTCGTCTTTGTTCGTAAAGCTTTTCACACTTATGCCTTGTCATTATCTTTGAGTGTATTATTTCTATGTGTATTTCTATAATGTTATATATATTTACATGATCCAGCAGTATGCATTGTATGCAATTCTGTGAGGATGTCATGTGACACAATATGAATATAATTCACTCTGTAAGTGAATTCACTCTTAGGTAAAATAAAATAGTTACAAAAATATTATGTGGGACTCCTCCAATTTATTCATCTTTTAAATTAAATGTAAAGAAAGTCCACTAAAAACAACTGATTCATAATGGGGAAAAACGTCCTAAGATACGGATATATGAAGCCTTTCTTCAGGCCTTCCCCCTTCCCAAGCTGAGAACACAATCTGCTTAACTTCTCACTGCAAACACTGGCCAGTGCAAAAACTGCAGAATCATTTTGCAATAATTATTTTGTACTTTAACATGAATTAGATATAAGGGTCAAAGAAATTAACACTAGAATACTATTTAATCYAAGACATTAATCATTGTTAACTCATCTAATTTTACAATTAAACTGAATATTCCATCTGTCAACCTTTCACAGTATCTATTTTTTTGTTCAATTTTAGTATTTTTCGGTTTTATTTAGTGAAAAAATTATTATTGGGAGGCATGTCACTGAACTGTTAAAGCAATCACTTCCATGTTATTTTTAAAACATTCTTATATCTTACTTTACAAAATTGAAAATTAGATATGATTGGATAATTATTATAGTTTGGTTAGACTATGCATATTTCTCGTTGCTACTGGGAACATTAAACAGTGTTATTCTGCAGCACATTATCTTAGGGTCTAAAAACACAACAGAGACATGGCACATAAAATACTTAAGAATGATAAGACACAAAGTCTTTCATCTCTGTATTGCTGGTTATCTTTTTGCTGATATTAATTGTGGTTAATTATCACAAGGATATGCAAGGGCTGACTATGAGTGAGCATATTTGTGGTCTCACAGAAATACCAGTTACAGAAACCCCCGTGCTGAGGCACCAACTGGCTATAATACCCCCTGGCATCACCACAGAGCAAAAGTATTGCTTAGGCAGGATMCTAACATACTTCACTACACCAAACAGTGTTTTGTTTTGGATGATGAAACGAAATCAGATCTCCCCACAACATGATGTCTGTCTACTGACGTCATGCATTTAACAATAAAGAAGCTAGTCCCCTGTGATAAAACCTTTCACAAAGCAGAAATTGAGAAGAATTCTTTTAAATCGGTGGCACTTCCAGTCTAGTACACATGTCCACAGGTAATGGCAGCATGGTTTGCAGATGACTCACCGAGAGAAAAAAAAACTCTCTACTATTGATGGAATAAATACTATAATATACTCACTTTTCCACAAAAATGGCATAAAGTCTTTGCACCATCGTACATCAAGCAAAATTAATGAATCACACCACAAGCCCAGAAATGTCTGTTAGAATTGCTCCTCTAAGCAAGTAACTATAATTTCAAGAAGCTTGTAACCAAATATTATTTCAAAGGACGGTTTCTGAATGTGAAATTATACAACTGGGGTACCTGACAGAGCAGCAGAACAAATCTCCCTACTAGTCCCTATTGTAAAAATAGAAAGTCTACGGTAGTTGTAAACATCAAAGACTGAAATCAGTTCTCTGAAAATACAAAGAGTATAAAGGAGTTGTCTTTATTACCTTCTGTGGCAAGGTATAAACATGCGAGGAATAAAATCTTGTATTTTTAAATACATAAACTATACACATTGTTCAGACCAGAGGGGRGACTGATATCCTTTTCCTCTAACTCCATAATCTTGTTTCAAGTGGAGTTCCCAGGCTTCCTTCTATCATATGTTTATTAATTAGAGGGATATGAAGGATTGCAAATGAATACTGCTAGCAAACCCACAAAACTTCAGGAAAAAAAGAAGCCAACAAAAAGCTCACACGTATTCTGCCCTTAGGTTATGTTTTGCAATTATTAATAACCCATTAGGCTTAATGGTAATAGAAATGCTGCTCTAGTTCAAGAAATGTTACATACAGGAAAAGATCCAGCATTTGAGGCTGTCAGCTGGTTCACTACTGGAAATTAGTATTCTGGAGATTTCAGACTGCTTTAAAGGTGCAAATAATACAACACAGTCATGCTTCTTTCTCTTACTTTTTCTCCTGTCCTCCGTATTAAATCAGAAATCAGAGAAAGATCTGACCTCACAGGCAACCTACTTCCCTCCTTTGCCTGTGCAGACTTGTTCTCTCTGATACCATCTCTTTCTGAGAGCTTTTCAAAGCCTACCTTTAAAATATTCTGATGGTTTTTCCTTTGTTAATTTTGATATATTATTTTACAGTCTAACAGCTCCCTGTTAGTAAGGTTTTGCTGATAGTCAGCCTGAAGCTCTCTCTCATAATTCATTCCCTTAACTGTAAATTTCTTTATTCAGACCCAGTTCTTCTACTTATGCCATACCAGACTGCACAGTTCTTCTGTTGTTAAAATGTCATGTTTTGAACTAAAGTCTATTTTTTCTTTCAATTATTTCCCTTAGTGAAAGGCAAAATACAGTTATACTGATGTGAATACCTATATTACAAATTAGTTTTGCCCARAAATACTGTTTGCAAATTTTGCAGATTTATCTTTATTTTCTGTGTATTTTCATAAGCCTCCACAAAACAGAAACACTACCTTTKTTGTTTTCTCTGATATTTATAGTGCCTGCCAATTTAATACCACCTAKGAAGTTCATTAGTGCCATGTGCCATCTCTTCCAGATTAGCAAAGATATTAAAGAAATATACAACTGTACATTATGCAAAACATACATTAACAGGAAAATCTGTCTTCTTTGTACTTTTACTACCTTATTCTCACTCTCTATATTCTTCCTCTCCCTGTAGCCCATTTATATCAAAACTGTTTAAATAAATTGTGTAGAATTACCTTAGGAACTTTTTTAAACTTAACCTGAAACTCAAATATAAATGTAAATACAAAATTATTGAATAATGATATTTTTAAAAGCAGCCTAGTTTGTCTTCTAAATATACATTATTTGCAAGTCTAAGACAACTATTTCCTCTCAGTTCAACTTATCTTTTGAGGGTGTACTATGTCTCAGTATTTTTCCCTTTTATTATGATCTCAAATTAGACTTTAAGTGTTGCAATTGAGTCCTAACATTCACAGTCTCATTCTCCCTTCCTTTCTATAGTTTCTATAGAGCTGTTGAATGTAATTCACAATTACACTTTGAAATTCACAATTACAAATAAATCTTTTTTCTTTTTTTTTTTTAAAGACAAAGCATACCTTAATTTTAATTCATGGCAAGAAGTTAGAAAAGTACTTTTTTCTCCAAAAACTCACATTTTCCTGTGACTGCACCCATACGTATAAGTTGCAAACTCTTTAAGAAATGATGATCAAAGTGAATTGCATATCTAGAATTCTTAACTATGAAGGCAAGCCTCTTTCTCAAAACCCCATCAATTCATAATTACACTGGTTAAATCCAAGTTGCAGACTTGGCTACTGATCTAACTTGAGCAGAGCAACCACGATGGTTTGGATGCAATGCTATGCAATCCTTTCGGGACAGGCCTCATGCCAAGTGGCCCTAATAAGCCCTCCTAGAAGAGGGAGCATGTCCCTGAAGCACTTCAGCAGACCTGAGCCAGATTAACGGACTACCTGAGATGACTCCAGGAGAAGTTACGTTCATATCTCTGCACTTTAGCTTTCAGCTTGCCCCACAGCACCAGTATTTCTGTATCCAAGACCCCATTATTGCAACAACTGAAAGTTGACTGACATTGAACTAGTGACAAAATTAAGACAATAAGTCACTCAATGGCAATGATTTTCCCACTCCTGTTGTGTCCTATTTCATATCCTTTTTAAGAACATTATAGTAACATACTTCATTCTGTATGGTCTTTCATCATCGCATCTTTGCTAAGTTCTCTAATAGGCAGCTTAAAAGGCCATATTTGTGCTGGTATTGCCATTGCCATAAACATACAGGTTTCACTTCTGCAATGCTGTCAATTGATTAAGTTCTAAGCAGTAACAAAACCTACTGTTTTTCACCCCCATTTCTCTATTCCTGAAGGACAAAAAAGAAAGAAAAAAGTCTTAAGACAAGTACATAGAACTAGAAGGAATTAAATCAACCAATTCACTGTAAATACTTACAGTCCATAAATCTGTGGAGCAATTTCCAGTCGGTTCAGATGCATGTACAGCTCAATATCATGTTTCTTCAGCAGATGATCCTGAATCTGATTTACTTTAGTTACAATAGCAATAGATGGACCTATATCCTGTGGCCTTGCAAATGGCATAGGCGTAACCATCGCATCTTTCTCCTATAGATACAGAAAACAGGAAAAATAATAACAAACAGCCCATGAAGCCTCATTGTGACAATATGTGAGGGTTGTTTTCTTGCACTCAATGGCTTCCAAAGAAGCTGAAAACATTAGCAACCCATTCTAATTCCAGCAAAAGCGAATCTCAAGTCTCCACTTCTGCAGTGTGTACCATGGGATTCCCCTCCCCGGGCGCTCCGAGCTTTCCTTCTTTCTGCTGCAAGCCAAAATGAAATGGCTTTACTTTTCACGCTCTGACAGCATGCTGACAGGTTTATTTTTGCTTTAATACGAGTCGTCCGAGTCAGTCCAAAGCAAAGTACATGAGTGGTAACTCAGCAGTGGAAGTATGCCCTCAGAGGACAATAAATTGCATACCAGCAAATAATCTCTTTTCCAATAATCTTTTCTACACAGGCTTTCCTTGCTCAGAAAATTTCGTGGCGGCACCTAAAAAGCTATGCAATTTTAACAAAGCATCAGAGGACCTCTAAAACAACAAGAGAAATAGAACAGTGAGATGAAAGAGAGGATTAGAAAGCAGCTGGTTGGACCCAGGGTTGAGCAAACCATGCAGTGGTCTAAAACATGACATACACAGGTGAAAACAAAGGAAAAAACTACGGGATTACTACAGTTCACAGAATCACAGAATCACAGAATCTTCAAGGTTGGAAGGGACCTCTGAAGATCATCTAGTCCAACCTTCCTGCTCAAGCAGGCACACCCAGAGCATGTGGCACAGGGTGGCATCCAGGCAGGTTTTGAACACCTCCAGAGAAGGAGACTCCATAACCCCCCTGGGCCTGTTCCACTGCTCTGTCACCCTAACAGTAAAGAAGTTCCTCCTCACTTGGAGACAGAACTTCCTGTGCTCCAACTTATGGCCATTACCCCTCGTCCTATCGCTGGCCACCAGTGAGAACAGCCTGTCCCCTTCCTCCCCGCACTCTCCCTTCCTGAACTTATACATATTAATCATATCTCCTCTGAGCCRTCTCTTCTCCAGTGAAAACAGGCCCAGCTCACTCAGCCTCTCTTCATATGAGAGATGTTCCATTCCCTTAATCATCCTGGTTGCTCTTCTCTGGACCCTCTCGAGAAGCTCCACGAAGCTCCAGTTCTTGAACTTGACTTCACTTTACTTTTTTCTTGTAAAAGAATGAAATATTATTTAAAAAGAGAAAGAATGTTAGCAAGAAAGATGGCAATAACTGAAGAGGATGTATGAAAGAGGATGAGGCACAAAAAAAGAACAAGACAGATATATCAAGAGAAAGATAGAGGAAAGAGAATTAACCTCTCAGAAGCAATGTGAAGATTAAATAAAAGAGGAAAAATTGGATAGTCAGAAGAGAAGACTGAGCAAARACTTTGTTGCACTCTGCCTTGTGCATGGCTTATAGACAGGAAAGCTTCACATTAAAGAATAGTTATTACTCTTCTATACGTTTCCTCTSTATACCAATAGAGAAACATTATCAAGCTCAAAGGATTAAAAGTTTCAGAAGACACACTACTCMTAGAAATTGCTGAAAGACAACTTCACTTGGCTCAATACAGAGAAGAGAACATTTCCAACATTCAATCACAAGGAAAGATTTTTTTATTTTTGCTCTATAAGCTATCCTCAAGGTTGTTTCTTGTGGCTTTATTCCTCTTCAACCTCATTCTCTCTTTTTCAGCACTCTTTTTTTCAGCACAGGAAGGAGAATTACAGTCACAATAATTTATGACATTCAGGTGGGCAGTACATATTCAATAATTTATATCAAAATTCTGTCAATCTCCTTGGCCCAAAATGTTCCTTCTTAATTATTTCATTTCTGTACCACAGAAAAYATTGTATGTTATTGAGCAGTGATCTCAGGTAAAATGACTTAYGTAAGGATCTGAACAGTTACAAATTTTATCTCATAATCTGGTAACTGGTGCTTTGCTATGGCCATTGCAGCAAAGAGACTTATCTGTCTATTACAGGACAGTGATTTTGCCATGGCTAATGTGCTTGCAGGACATAAGCTTCTAAGATGCCCTAGTAAACTGTTTGACCAAAGTTTCCTCACAGATTGTCAAATAAAGTTCACTGAAATGGCATCTATTAATAAATTCAACAATCTTTCTGTTCTACCAAACAGAAGTGCAATATATCATGGAAATCATAGTAACAGATCAGTGGAATAAGTGAATCACGGATACATGTGAAAAGAAATCACATTTGAAGGAAGCATTAGAAGGAATATTAAAAAACGACCTTCACAAAAGGACCTTCACAAAACTTAGCAYGTAACGCAGAAAACATGCAGAGAAAGCAAATATGATCTTACAAGCAGTCCACTGTGATGATAATTAAATCCAATCCATTCGTGATTTTGAAAAAAAAAGATTTCTAATCTTGTTGCAAGAAGCTAGGAAAGAAAAGCCAGTGTTGCCTCCAATGCAAGAGAATCTGTATGACCACCAGAAACCAAATGGTGGCAAATGCCACTAGGAGGAAGGGTCCTCCACAGGAAATACAGACAAACCACCTCTTGCTTAGAAGCTGCAGCAATCTTGATTGCCCTGCAATGTCAACAGATATTTCAGTGCCCAATACCATGGGGAAAAAAAAAAAAAAAAAAAAAAGAGATATTGCACTCTCTCTAGCATCTGTCCTGGGAAACCTGCAGGTTCCCTGAAATACATGTTTGCCAGTGCAGTCAGCATGGGAAATAAACAGGAGAAACTGGAGATCTGTGTGTGATCACAGGGCCATGATCTCATTGCAGTTACAGAGACATGGTGGGATGGTTCATGCAACTGGAATGCTCCCATAAGGAAGCTGATGAGGCCTTCTACAGAGAGGTGAAGTAGCCTCATGATCCCAGGTCCTGTTTCTTGTGGGGGATTTCAACTACCCTGATATCAGCTGGCAATGCAGCTAGGCACAAACAGTCCCCAAGGTCCTGTTGAGCACTTTGACACAGGTGGTGGAAGAGCCAAGGAGGAGAGGTGTGTTGCTGGACCTGTACTAACAAATAAAGAAGGACTGGTTGAAGGTGGGAAGGCTGGGGGTAGCCTTGGMTGCAGTGATCGTGAGTTGGTGCAGTTCAGGATCCAGCGAGGAGGATGCAAGGTGACAAGTAGGAACATAACACTGGACTTTAGGAGGGCAAACTTTGGCCTGAGACATACTTGGAGTTATCCTCTGGGCTTATGACACTAGAAGGAAGGGGGGCCCAAAAGACCTTGCTAGGATTCAAGCGTTCACTTCCTCCAAGCTCGAGATGGATGCCACAAACTGAAGCACAGGAAGTGCCACATGAATTTCAGGAAAAATTTCCTGACTGTGAGGGTAACAGAGCACTGGACAAGTTGCCCAGAGAGGTTGTGAGTCTCCTGTCTGGAGATGCAAAACTCATTTGGATGCAACTCTTTAAAACGTGCTTTAGGTGACCCCACTTGTGCAGTGGGGTTGGACTAGATGATCTCTGGAAGTCCCTTCCAATCTTATTCATTCTGTGATTCAAAAGAGACAGTATGGGAGGCTAGTAAGAGCATGCAGCCAATTCTGGAAACCCACAGGAAGTAGGTGAAAGCAGGAAAAGTGGCCAAATTTCCTTATCCCACACTTAATTACGGYAAAATGTCCCCTGTGATCACCACTTAAACTAACATTAGAAGCAAGTTACCAAAATAGTCAGCTTTCATTTTAACCTGTTTTTCATTTCTCCACGGTATGCTATTTCATATTATTGTTTTAGACCAATTTCATTATTTTTTGGTCACATCCCAAAATTTAAAACACTAAAAAAAGAATCCCCACTAATTATTTCTAATCGCATATAAAGAAAAACACTTTTAAGGTATGATACAACAACACTGCCTTCACATTAAAGACAGTCTGTAATAACTTTCTGCATGAGCATATCCATTTATTTTTGAAGCTAATCATAAAAGTCTGTAACTTTATGAATTCACAGACTGTGCTGAATATGCAGCATATTCCATCAGTTGGCAAACATCTGGGATATGTGCATTATTCTGCTTTACTCCAGTTGAGTTCAGCTTGCTCTCTGTATGCACTTGTAGCTGATGACATAAAAGGTTTGTATTTTTGAGTTCTTATTTCAATTATGAGCATAAATTCTTATATAGAAATCTCAATATAAGAATCCTTTTACCTATTTTAACTTGCAATATGAGAAGACAGGATAGTTACCCATGTTGGCAGTTACACCATTAACTGTCTAGGGGTTTAAAGCCATCTTTACAAAATTTGAAGACAGACTCTTAAACACTATCTTGAACGTCAAAAAATTCTAATTATCAAAACTAATGCAAGTTTCATCTTAAGGAGGAGTGCCAAAACAGGAATTATTTGTCACTTGCAACATTTGTGCACCTTGGCATAATGCAGCACCAACACATTGCTGACTGTCAGGCTGACTGACTACCAGCATGGGAAAGTGCATCACGTAATATATGCTGGCTTGCCATTTTTAAAAGCATAAGAAATGTAGATGGTGTCCATCAAAACACAGTTCTTCAGCACCTAAGGAATTAACCATATTAACAGAACTGTTCAAAGCATGACASAATCTGTGAGGACAGAGGCTGTAATCCATGACCAAGGTACTAACTGTGCACACCTCTTGACTCAGCACCCTCCATGCATAAGTTTTATGAATGACAAGAGCGTATATGGCCTGATTGTTGTGATATGCCAGCCAATTTGGTTAAGAAAATATGACAATACTTTCAATCAGTTGAAATTGCTCCAAAAAATGACATCAAACTGGTGTGAAAGAAATAGCCCAAACAGAAAGATGCTCAAATAAACTAATACATCTAAGCAGTCAAAATGTTTAATTAGAAGTGACTCACAGCGTCTGTCTCCAAAGCCCAAAGCTAGGTGGACATATGATATACGTAACGATACCCCCTACTCACTACATCCTACCTTGTTGCATGGGACAAAACACCTGTTTTCTTTCTGTGAACTTGTAATTCTTGGAAAACATTTCATGAACACATGGCTTTAATCAACTGCTGCTAACATGAAAAGTAAATAATAAATCCCAAAGAAATGGGAGAGGGTAGGATAAAATACAAAATAAAAGAACAGCTCAGAGACCTGCTTTATTGTTTACAAAAAAAGCATCACAGTCCCTTCTAAGAACAGTTTAAATATGGACACCAGTGAAAAGTGGCTGAAAAATGTAGATGAAGTATTAGGAAGCGAATCACCAAATCCTCCTGCAGAATATTGCCTAACACAGCATGAACTGGAATGGCTGGTATTCCATACAAGTACAATTTATGCATACATGAATTTAGGAAATAAATGCTGCTGCAGTAAAGGGAGGCTAGGACATAGTGCAAGTATATAAAATGTGGACAGATTTCTCTCATTAACCACTAGGGAATCCAGGAGCTGGAGAAGTTCCTATAATGGCAATTGGGAGTAATGGAACCAACTGTTAGACGCTATAAAATGTTACTTGTCTCTCAGAGCTTTCACTGCTTCATTTGTGAGGATTCAGACTTTATTGTGTAGTCAGCTCTCAAAGTCATGGTGGTAAAAGCCATATGTACGAGACAGGCTTATTAAAATTATACATGCCGGCAAATAACAAGAACAAACAACTAGAATCCATGCGCACTGCCAGGGACTGGAAAGGGCAATGTAAACTTTCACCTTCTACCCARGCACTGTAAATCTCTAGGCAGACCTAGTTATTTCAAGCATAAAATTCAACCTAAAACTTTACCACCTCTGTCACAGAAATTGGAACAAATACATTTGAATATACTGAATTCTGAACAGCTAGTCTCCAAGAAGCATCTCTCACAGCTTTGTTGCTAGAATAAAAGTGACTATGTAATAAGTTCATAAAATTTATATCTCATATGTTTTATCTGTAGTTACTGACAATTATGGAAAAATCCTAACCCGAGTAGTAACTTATAAATGTAGATAGCTTAGGCCAAGATAACAATACTCCATGTTTAATGAAATATATATATATATATATATATATTCATATATTTAAATGCTTAAAGAAAACAGAAGCTTTTATGCGGGGCTTAAGTGAACATGTTTTTGTTATTAACAGGCAGACATATCCACACTTCAAACCAGTACTCCCTAATTTAAGTACGTATTTTGGTACACACATGCTGATATCTGTTACTGAACACACTCTTCTGATGTTCTCTGTTAGCTCAGACACTTACCCCATGGTCTAACTGAAAAAGCAGTTGAACTGAAGCAAGCTGAAACCATGTTAGGATATATAACACACTGCTAGTCTTTCAGACACCTCTAATATGGCTATTTTTTCTTAGAGTCTTTTATATATATTCTAACAATTGCATAAATAATTTTCCAGAAATAAAAAAGAAATGAAAAGAGAAGAAGAACTAAATATGACATGAAAATAAAGCATTCTAAAGAAATCTTGAGCACTTGACTGAGGCAAAATGGTCAGAGGGGATTGTTAAACACACAATGGTTACAAAATGGTTACTGGTAGGGATTAGATGGTGCTGAAAAAATGAGAGGGCCATAGTTCTACAGTACTAAACACAGAAAAAGGCTTTGCCTGCAAAGTAGCACCATGTAGTCAAGGATGTTAAATACTGAAGCTCCTATATAGCTACACAGGTAATGTAGATGCTATGTAGCAACGTGTAGCTATATAGCTACACAGGTAATGTAGAGATATTCACTCTTCTCCAAACATCCTGGGGCCAAGAAGAGAAATGAAAAGGGTCAGCATCAGCAGAAAGAGGTAACAGAAAGAGGCATCAGTATAAATGCTGAGGTTAGGGAATGACAAATCTGACCTGTGATGGGCACACATGATCACAGGTTTGATTTCAAATTGCTTAAAGACAATTTAAACCAACAAGTGTAAAATAATTAAACAGTTCAAGTCTTGATATATTAAATACCAACTACACACATTTATTTAATATGACCTTTGTACATGCTTTGGGTAGAAGCAATAGATRTGTCCATGTCAGACATTCTTTTAAACATTTACAGGAGAACATCACTCCCACATATCAGAATTTGACTGGTACATTTRATTTCTGATGACAAAGTGTTCCTTCAGTAGACATCCATCCATCCAACTAGGAGACTTTCCACAAGTTCATATGACCAAATTCTGAAGTAATTCTAAAGAATTTCATTGTAACTTAGTTCAAACAGCTTTAACTAAGGTGTTTAAGAGAATATATAATTCRATTATATTAAAAATCACATTTGCTAACAAATATTATGCACACACTTTTAGAGTAATAGTTACCTTCTGACTGTCATGTTCAAAAGTTGAAAACCAATGTTCTGCAGTTTTCATAAGACGTGTGAACATTGCACTGCAGAGGAAAAACCCAGAAATTTGGTGTTAAATAACGTACGAGAAACAGAAACAAATTACATGTGAAAGAAGTTGTAAAAACTTACTAGGCATCATGTTCCAGATATTCAGGATTCAAAAGAACTTTCATTTCCTCACTGAAAAAGGCAACAGTGAACAATCCAAATGTGAATGCTTATTTTTGGTCAGCTTCTGCATGTACTATTATGTATTTATAAGCCAACTTTCATATAAAGTGCAAATGAGAAAACTAGCCTTTTTAATTAAAAAGAGCAACTCCATTGAACAAATGAAGTCTTTCCTTTTTATAAAGATCAAAAACAAATTAGCTGCCTTGTCTGCACTACAATGAAGTAACCATCTAATTATTCCAAATAACAAATTACTGAATGTCACAATGTATTATTTGAATATGCTTGATCTAGAATAATTGATTGCTGCACAATCTATCACTGTTTGTCCAAAACAAAAAAAAATATGGTTAACGGTCAAATATGCAGTATCAAAACATTAATTTATTTTGTTTTAATAGCCTGTATTTTTATTGTACTTTAACAGCAATTAATCAGTGACAGCACCTCTCTTCCATCTACTTTGCTGCTTAGCTCTACTTTTTCAGAGGGGGTTGGAACAGAATGCTGTGCAGAACCCACAGTTATTTTGAGTTACTTTCTGCTGAAGAACAGCGTGTAGGCAATTTCAGGGGATGTAAAGACAGATACTGAATAAAAACAAACATGTGTAAATAAACTTCATCCTTATGCTAACACTGTCTTTGGACAACCACAATGAGGGGTGCTAAAAAGAGGTTACCAAAGAGGTTATGCAAGCATAATTAAATTGGATTTTAATCATTGCTGGACTCCAAAAAGCAAATGCAAGAAGATAAGTGAAAAGAAATGACTTAACTATTACACATGGTTCAATCGTGCTTAAAAAAAAATAAAAGCTTTGCATGTAAGGCAAAAAAAAATCTGCTTTGGGTTGATACACAATCACATGTGATGCAGTATTTTCTATATGTGCATAAATAGATGCACAGCGATGTGCACACACACACACACATATATAACTATACACACTATTTGAATAAAATGGAGAATTTGTACCTAAAATTAATGTTATTACAAAGCCAAGTGATAGTCATGTACTGCATCTACAATGTTACAGATGATATTATCTATCACATTTTGTATACACTGTTTTTTTTTTTAAGATATGAAATATAAAAACACTGGCAATATATCCATTGACTGTATTTCTCTAGTCTACCTCCCCTCAGCTATGACAAATATTAAAACATTTCTGGCAAGTACAATAAAGTGAAATAGTAGATAGGTAAGCCTTTTGATTARTATTTTCTTTTAGGTTTCTTGTCTTCCCATTTTTCTCTGGCTAACATCTGTAAAGTGGCCAACTCCTACATTTTAACCCCTCCTCTTCAGAAGTTGTAATAGGGAAGATGAAACAAGGATTCTTACATAAAAGCAGGAGGATTCTGGTATGAACTTACTAATTATGAASAAAGAATTAAAGGAACACCTATTTTATATGCTGATAAATCTGTTGATGTATTATATATATTACATATCAATGTATATATGCATATGTGTTTTTAAAGAAAAAGGAATTTTAACATACAAATACAAATATACAAATAAAGAAGTGCTTGCCTTGGTTGTGCAGCTTCACTGGCATGTGAGAAAGCCTGGTGGTCACAATGCAGGATAAAGACAATGGGAGCTAGAAGTTCATGCATACCCTGAACATAAAGGGAAACAAAAGTACAGTGAGAATTTTCATTCATTTAGTGGCTCATAATGCTCAGAACCAGGCAGACAGCAACATTAGCTGCAAACTAAGTAAAAGCACATTGTGAACAGAATGGTTTCATAATCAATGGCTTTTATTTTAAATTCTGATTAAATCTAAGTGTTTATTCTTCTATAATATACGAGAAGCAAGTCATTCTCCCTTTTTCAAACATAACAGACAACAAATTGGCTATGGTAGGCAACCCTGCACCTGGCAGTTTACTCCAAGATCTATGTTCATAAATATGAATTTTATTTATGATAATTACAATCATGATCCACAGTACAAAGATCTGCAATAAGGACAAATTATGAAATTTAAAATTACTTTTTATTTGATAATGTTCCAAAACCAGCATAACAGTAGCCTTCAGAAGAGATAAAGGCAGCTATTTGGGAAATTAAAAAATGAAACTTCCATTCCTATGGATACTAGAAATAAAAAGGGCTTGCTGCTTTAAAAAAAAAATTWAAAAAAAGTCAATACTAAGAAAAAAATCACTATAAGACAACACATAGGAAAACTTGCTAATGTTTCCTCACAGACTTTTACTTCTATACACAACCCATGTCCAGACACAGACAAAATGTAAAAACATGCATGAATTAAAACTGAAAAAAAAGTTGCCAACTGGTGGGCAGTGCAGGATTTGGCTTGGCCTGGGGTTAGAAGTACAGGTGGGTCATCCAGGTGAGCCACTGGTACCTCCACTGAGGGGCTAGCTCACCATGAACAAAATAAGATTTTTTGCCTTCACTTCATTGAGGTTTCTCAGTTATTATAGGGAGTAACTCCTTCAGGGAAGAAGCAATCCAATTGATACCACCACCAATACAATACAGGTAAAGCTACAACCTGCAGATCGAAACCTCATCTGTGGGAGACATTCGGTGATCCCTGAGATCACACTGGGAAAAGAAGGATCTGGGGTATCCCACCTGGCATATCTGGATGTGTCAGGAGAGCCTGGCTTTCGATCACAGACTAGGAGGTGGACAGGACCTTCAGAAATCATAGGTTGGGRATGGGGATTAGCCTTGCAAAAAAAGCAAGCGAGCCCATAAGTGATGGAAGGGATTGGGGTTGCATCTGCTCCCCTTGGCTGGCAGTGCCTGCATATGGGGATTACACCAGGCAGGTGGCAATTCCACATGCCCGCCCCAAAGCCTTCAGCCACCTCCATATCCACTTGCAGTTGGTTCAGTCCCAACTCCTGGTGCTTTTTCTGGGTGAAAGTAAGACCATTGTGTCAGTCCAGCTGGCAGAAAAGACATRGGGCAGTCCACCAGGCCCACGGCATTTCAGGCTGACGCTGGGAGTCTGAGGATGGCTGGCCCCAGACAGGAGCTGGTCTGCTCTTGTGATCGTATTTGCAACCTAGGAAGCCTCTCCACTTGCTATTCCAAGTCTTTCTATGAAAGACAGAAGTGAGCAGTGAACATATCACAAGCTCATGGATCTAACTTGCTGCTTCCCCAGTGCATCTGTTTGAGGGCTTCACAGCTATGAAGCTCCTAGAGAGGCCAGCTGCTCATCATCCAGATTGGCTCCTTTCTTCCAGAATCCTCATGCCCTCCATGTCCAGGTTTACTCACAGGGATAGTCATGCTTGTCAAATGTAAGAGGATGGCTTATCCCAGCAATAAACACCTCTGCTGAAGGCATACAAAGCTGCTGGAAAGATAAAACCAAAAATGTTTGGGCCAGAAACGGCTAAAGCAAGGCCATGGAGACTGACAGAGCATGACGTGTGATCGATTTTAGGGATGAACACTGGATCTTTTGAGCCAAAGTCCTTCCAGGTACATGGTGTGACGCTGTGGGGTTTGGGGACTTGGAGTGGTCTGGGGATTCTGGAGGTACTGTCATATACCATGTAGCATTTGAGGAGTATTCAAGCTCAGTGAGTTAAGTATTTCTGCATCAAAAGCATCATGCAGCAAGCACCATTAGTACAAAARTTCTTTAACTTTTATCGGAAATAATGGCGATTTTCTTTTGTAGTCCAAACTGAGCAGAGAGAATACTGTTTGTTGAGGGCCCAGATAGATGTGGAAGTTMTCTCCAAGTGCTCATCTATTTTGAATGTGCTCTGAAGGTTATCAGTGAACCTCTTCTGTTCATAAGAAGTTCCAATCTGCAGCGGTATTGAAGGGAAAGAAAAAAGGCGCTTAGAAAAATCTYTGTATAGCATCAATTTATAGCAGCTGACTCAATTCTGAGGGAATAAAAATCAAATTTCCTGAGATTTAGCCTCAAGCACAAGTCTGGAGCAATAGTGGAGTTGAMTGGGCAAAGTTAATTGCAGCAAAACTACTTAAGTTTGGCTTTTTTTTTTTCTTTCCCTTTTGATTATGAAGGCTAAATAGAAGCTTAAAAAAAAATCAACCAACAACAAAAGACTACAAGCAAAGTTCAAAGTTCACTGATGGACAGAAATCGACAACATAAAAAAATTTCTGAATGTCTTGTGGTCATACCAAGATGGGAAAGACACACAAGACTCTGGTCCAGAGTTAGGAGAAAAACAGAACTGCCAGAGGTGCTTAAATAAACTGTAGATAATGTGCTGCACTTTCATATATACTCATAGCCATCAGTTGATTAACAGCTTAAAAGTCTAATCGTGTATTTACTTTGATACAGTAGCACGAAATAAGGGAAATGGGGATGCCAAAAACTTGAATATCTAATAAAACTACTATCTAAGCTGTAAACATATGAACTGAAGAAAAAGAAAGAGGACATAAAATAAGAATTAGTTATAAAAGATAAAAGCAAATCATACATTCTTTCAACATAATAATATATCAACTTTATAATAAAGTAGAATCATAATGTGGCTGCCCATATACAACAAAAACAAAACAAATAGATGATGAAATACCAGGATTTCAAAAAGATACCTCTGATCTTTCAGTTACAAGAATACTTCAAATGTTTAGAGATTTTTAGCTTGGCAAGAAAAGCCACCAGTGTAATATGCATACACATATTTTTTCAATGCTGCAGTTTACTAGAACTCTTTAGTGTTAATAAATAAGTTGACAGAACTCAGATAATTTTTGACACTTCCCAGCTACAACAAAGTATTGATTTCATAATGCAGTCTAGGATTCAGAAAGAAAAACAGAAATTTCTAGAGTATTTCTAAAATGAAATGTGAATCAATGCAGTTCAAAATTATATTGACTTCTCTAAGGACAATCAAATTATGCGTGAACAATAGCCTAATGATTTAACTTAATTGCCATTGCTTCTTTTCAGTGTAACTAGAGCCAGAATTTTGGCACCAGTCTTGCAGACGAATGCAAATAGTAATTTTACATATTTTAAAGTAGAATATACTATTCTCTTTAGATTTTATATTTACAATTGCAATTTAAAAATTTAAGCATCCCAGGAAGGATTCAGTCTCTAAAATCGGTAATACAGCTTCACAACATTCCACTCTATTTGACAAGGGACAGAAATATCTTTTGCCAAACAAATAAGATGTTACACTGCATTGGTCAAAAAACACAAAGCCGACTACTTGTGCATATATACATATCAAATAAACATATTGATTTCTTCCTGTGAGAATATGTAATAAGTCTCAATAAATAAATCTCAGTTACATTCTACTTATAAGGATAGAAACTGCCACAAAACTAGAAGTTCTTCAAATATTTTAAAAGAGAAACATCAGGTCCTGTACATATGATGACAAAAGAAGTAAAAATTTCCATTTATTGGCCTGGTCTTATAATTGTCCTGGTAAATGTAACTCTTGGTGGAGCTTACAAACAAAAGAGAGAGGAAATCTCTCTCTAATGGACTAGGTCCATTATGGTCGCTGAATATGAAGACAAATATCTTATGTTTGGCTCTGTATTCATGTCACTGCAGAGAGAGCAGCTTGAGGGGGGTGACTATTAAATGGCAACCTTTATTCTCAAGGACAATGCTATGCTTTTTTGTAGYAGGGGCTTTTTAGGAGTGAGTCAATTATGAAAATGGAACAAAGAAAATTGGTAGGACCAGAATCCTGACCACAGCATATGTATTTAATAAAAGAGAAAAAAAAAAGTCCTGATTCCACCACAAATCACCACCTGATTCCACTACTTCCTGCTAAATAATTCTGAAAAGTGACTACTGATGGACATGAAAGAAATGGTATATATAGATAGATACACCATCAGACTTGGATCACATACTGAACAGTCATGAGAAATATTAAACTAACAGTTTTTCATCATCCAAATTTATTTTTTCTGCACTATATCCATCTCTAGTCCTGTGGCAACCTTCTCTTCAAGCTGCTGCACTACTCAAGCTACAGTAGTCAAAACCAGAGGTGAAGAAGTTTTCTTTGTCAACAGCCTGTAGGCTTGCAAAATTGAACCTGTTCTTTTATCTGCCTATGTTCATTTAGCCCACCAAGCAGTCTTTATTAAAGCTGAGGCATCAGGCAGTCAAAGTTCATTAATACCATTTATATAATCTCTGCAGTTTCAATTAACTCAGCAAGACATTCTACTACATGATAACAGTCTCATTAATTCAATAAAATCCCATAACTATTAACAATATGGTCTATGTTAAACGGGGTGTCACCTAGTACAAAATAATAGCTTTAACAGCTTGTGATGAAACTCAGGGCTTTTTTTTTTAAATTTGATCTAGCTAAATATTCCATCCTTATGTAGAAAGGTATTATTTCTTGGTAAGGAATCTAGAGGATTTTAAATATGAGCAGAGGGTAATTAAGTCCTTTTAAGTCATATCAAAGAGAAAAATAATACTTCTTGTTCAATAAATGGTAGACTAAATTAGCTGGAATCTGTTCTTCCATTTTCCCATCACTGTACTTTGGCCTATATTCACTAGAAGAGGGGCGCTGAATACTGCTTAAGTGTTTTCTTTAGCAGTGCCCTTCAAAGTACAGCTCATCACACACCTCATCTTTTCTCTGTAGTCCTGCAGTGCAGGACTACTCCTTGCTCTCAGTCTGTGAAACATGAAAAAGAAACAGCTGATGGAGATTCAATATTTTCATAACTATGTATTTGATTTTTGGTATTATTTGTAAGCTGGTTCTTCAGAAGTAACTCTTCCTTCAACTCATATGTGCTGGTCTTCTCAAGAAATGCAACTGATTTCCTGGCTTGAGGACATGGCAGCCACAGACCTGGTCACAGACCAGGCCTGAAAGCACACAGTGTGCTATAAAAATGTATATATTTACTGAATCTCTGCATTTTTTGTCAAAACAAAATCTGTCTACCTAAGATTTGCTGCTAGTCTTTGTCAAAGGACACAGTACCCCTCAATCTGTCAGTCCCTCATCTCAATACAGTTAATAACTGAGGGTAATAAATACGGATATACTTTTGTTTACAGTTCTGCAAATTGGCCTTGATACAGGAATTTAGTATCAAATTTATACTTTATTTAAACCTTCAGAACAAATGTTTTATCTTCATCCCATATGGATGCATACTTAGGCCAGCTTTAAGGCTATCTTTGCCATTTTAACTGAAATAGTTTGAGTAGGCTTTCCTTCTGAGGTATTCGCTTGCCCCCTTATTTTTCAGTCAGGAGAAACTTGTTCATTGCATTGTATTTGGATCCGTCAGGATCCATTTCTTAATGTACAGTGTGGCTTTAGCATTTTGAGAAAGAACTTAAAACAGCACACACAACTTCAAATCCTAATGTTGGTCTGAATTTCAAAAGACACGATTTATTGTTTATTCAGTGGCATCCTACTGCAATCTTTCTGTCTTCTTCTAAACACACAAAGCCTCCTTCTTTTTTAAACCATCGCTGAAGAGATGCTGAAGAAAAAGATGTAGTTTCTAAAGAAATTCAAAGTTAGACAACTCACTGACCTGATAGGAAACAATTTGAAGGAACATCTTRTGAGGAAAAAGCGTATGTTATTCAATGACCTTACTTTTCTTACAGCTGACAAGTAGCTTTTTGATTACTTTAGCATTACAATACAATTTCAGATACAACAGAACTGCATTATTGCCCAATCATTTGTAAAACTGTACAGAAAATGTTGACTCAATGAATGSCACCTATACAGTATTTTCATTACCTGTTTATAAAGCAACTGCTCATTTTCTCTGGCATAGCAGAACAGAACATCTGTAAGAATTTTCCTCACATTCTCTTGCTGAAAATATTGCATTTCAGGAAACCTGAAAGGGAAGAAATGCAGCAATGGTAAACCACGTAGCTCACAAAAACATGGTCACTGGTCTGCTATAAACAGTTTGCTAGGACAATACGTTTTTTGTCTGTTTTCCCACCTCTCCATGAATGGAGTGGGTGTTGGTGGAATACTTCTAAAGAGATGTCATATTTGTTTTGCAAATAAAATTGGAACTATATTCTAATATATAACAGTCTGTTACACCTATATGATATTGCCAGTTTTATTTAAATGCATAGCGCCCTTTAACATAATGAATACTAGACATCTGCAAGAATGACATAAAATGGCACATTGTTGTAAAGACCAACTTTTAAAAACAGCCAGTGTGATGAAAGTCTGAGTGACTTCAAGAATCCAATCCAAAAAAGACAATGTACCATCTGAGTACATATTCCTAATTGCCCAAAGGATCAAGTTACTTTGCTCCTCCAACTCCTTGTCAAGATTTTAAGTTTTGCCAAATAGAGAAAASGAAAGGAGACAGAACGAGAGGGAATGACTGCAACTCAGATCTGCCCTCTCCCTCCTGCACACAGATGGTTCCTGTCCCACCAGGCAACCTACAAGGTTGTCCTGGTCCCAGGCAGCCCAGAAGCCGGATCAATAACCCCAAGGCAGTGCTACACTCCCTGTCAGCCCCGCACCAAAGAACCTGAAACGTGCTCTAGAATACTTAAAAAAAGGAGGGAGATTGAAAACAAGCAACAAAGGAAAAAGAGTTAAAACTAAAACGGTTGCACACAGTTAACTACTGATTCCGGTACTGGAAAAATAAGCGCTGGAGATCAAATCTCACCGAGATAAAAAGACGCTTTGCATGACATGCTTGCGTTCTTTAATTTGTGTTAGGCTGACAACTGCTAACTGGATCATCAATCTGTCCTGCAGTTTCAAGAACAGTCCTGCTCTTCATTTTTTTCTCCAGACAAAAGATGGTCAAAATAAGCTACTATGAAGAGGATAACAACTACAATATGTTAAGGAGTCTGTAAAGAACCAAACCGAAAAAAAAATGAAGGATATGTCAAAGGAAAAATATACACAAGGGTTCAATATTTCATGAATATTTGAAAAAAATATTAGCATTTTAATGACTACATTATTGAAATATCTCATAACTAACATGAAAGTAGGCATCCTAATTTTCTTGATCTCTAAGCAAACTCCAATATATCCTATTGACATCTTTTGCTAAGATAATTAGGCTTTTCACCGCCATTAGTGGCTGTCTCAAATAAACCCTCAAATGAAGAAACCATTTGAGACTGTCGCAGAATAAATATCCACTAAGTGAAATAGAATAAAATGGAATTAGCGTGAGAAAAAGAGGAAAAAATTTCTTGTCAAATCATGTTATCTGCATTTAATCCAGCAAAATGTAAATATGAGGAATCTGTAATTATTCTGATGTAACTCTCACCTCTGCATCCTCCTCACTGGCAGGTAGAAAGTAGGAAATAAGTAGGAAATAAGTTGCTTGTAGATTTACTTAAATATACTAGTAGTGTTTTCAGGCTTACCAAAGACTTAACTAGATGGTAAGAAATATTTTAAAAAGTGACCGTCCAAAAGCACATGCAACTATGTGGAACAAAAAAAAAAAAAAAAACTGAAGTAGAAAAATAAGAGTTTTACAAAGAAAGGAAAAAGTAAGGTTGGACAAAGAGAACCAGAAGAACAGTTGGAAAGACAACACCTGTATGCCTCAGTTTGCTAAAACCAAGGCTAGAGCATTGTTGGCATGAAAATGAAGTCATATGGATCACAGCTAAGCTTTTCTGAGGCAAATTTTGTCTTGCCTGCTTCCAAAGCATTGCTAAACTTCAGTTATCTGAAGGTTTTGTAAAGCCTGTCCAGAGAAACCAAGTAAGAAAATATGATCAATGGCCTGAGTCAAACTACTTGTGTTAACTATTACTGAGATAATGACAGGTAAGCTAGAAATGTGCTTTGAAATCCTTGGATGAAAGACATTATTCCACAGTCAACACAGAGAAGACCCTACGGCTTAAACAGAATAAAATTTAAATACTGAGAAAGGCATTTGGATGAAGAGTACATCATTTTCCTGGCACCTGATGGGGTAATGGTAGACCAACATTTGGAAACTTGTGTGTACTTGTAGTAATCATATTACTGTAAAGGAAGGACACAGCTGAGACCAGAAAGGTGCATTACAGCAGATGGCAATCGACATAATTTAGGGGTTTGAAGAGATTATTTCTGAAGGACTGTTATTCAGACCTGCCCTATGAAGTTTAGGAAAAGAAAACTAACAAAGAAAACTCAAAAATACACAGAGTATCTGTGAGGATCTCGTAATACGAGAGATTGTGACAAGAAGGATAATAATGAACTCAAGAAATAAGCTGGCTGAAGTATTAATTATAATAAATGTAAATACAAGAGACCATGAGGGAACTATCAGTTCAGGAAGGATTTTTATGAAAAATGTGATTCTACGATTAAAGCACTGGTTTAGAAATATATCAGCCTCAAATCAGGCAAGGTAAAACATTTTTCAAGAATACTAGGATATTACATTTAATTACATTTTGGGAGAAAAACTGCATAAGAAAATAGGAATTTTACCAGAATGTTTTGCCATATCTACTATAGTTAAACAAAAGCGCATTCAAGTCCATGATTTCTAAAAGGGAAGATATGCATGAATACGAATAGGTTTTCATTTTTAAAACATTAGGCCTTTTAGGGGCCCCTACACCACTAACAGGCAAATATTGACATAAAAGGCAATCAAAGAAAAGGACCTATAAATATTTTTAAAAAATATGTCTGTTAACAGACTCGAAGGAGAGTCTTAATCACCGCTGTGGAGTGACCTGCCTTTTTCTCATTTTTCTGCAGATTCCTCAATTTCCTCATATTCTACCCCTCCATTCCCCAGCCCAACTCCTCAGCAAGGTAAAACTTGGGCAACAAGACTGGGGAAAGGTATCTTCAGAAACAAACTGCAGSTCCCTTTTGTTTTTAAGGGAATAACCTCATGTAGAAAGGTAGCTCTCCCTTATGGCAGTCTCTTCTCTTACTTGGAAACTAAATTTTGTCCCTTGGACAAAAGAACTATGGAGTTAGAATAGAAGAAAACAGCCCAGAGCTGTTCCTTCTTACATCTTCCCAATGATCCCTCCACTCCTTTTGTCTCTTTGCTTTTTTTTTTTTTTTTTTTTTTTCCCTTCCAAAAAAGGAGATAGAGGGTTTAAACAGGTGCAACCACTGCTCCTCAGCCTCATGTCTTCCCCTTTCCTATAGGGTCATTGCTGTTCCTGAATTAGAAACAGGCTGGAATAAAACACATAGACCATCATCAAAACCCACCTCTGCCTCCAAGTTAGTCTACTGGGAACCCATAAGTCTTACATTATCGGAAAGAAAGACAGGATGATCAAATCCRGTCATTTGCAATCTCAACTTCAAAAGATGATGCCACAAGCAGAGTGGTGTTTTGATTTGACTGGTAACTAGATGTAAGTACATCTAGCCGCAATTTTATTGCAGATTTCTATTCCAGCAGAAAACTTACAAAACTTCTTCTTTATCATTTATCCTTTTAATTATTAGCACATAATCAGCTTTGTTTTACTTTTTGGTACCTCTTCAGAAAGACGGTAATTAATCACTGTGTTCTTACATCTACTACAAGTTACTATGTTGCTAATACAAACAAATTCCTTTCTGAGCTAGAATACAACCATATAACTTGCTTGATATTGCTAACTATAATTGAAGATTTCTAATTTCATAAGAGAACTCTCCCTCACAGCCTGATTTTGAGAAGCTTTTCATTTGGGATAGAAACAGACTATATTTGGTTCTAACCCCAAAATTGAAAAAAATGATGTTCTACATAGCTGAAAGTCTGTCTGAACCTCTCAACTATCATCCAATAAAATAAAATAAAGGTTATTAAATAGAAATGTTAATCTGTAGTTAGGATTAATTTACCAAAATCCTTTCCTACTCAGCTTGTAAGTATTGGAAATTCTTATTATGCAGTAGGCAAAAGATTTTAGTAGAAAAAAATGAATTTAGACATTATGGGATCAATCCTAACTTTAGATGACTTCAGTATGGTTAGACAAAGATGAAGTTAGAAACCTCTTATAATTATTGAAGAAAAAACAAAGTTGCTACTGAGTATATTTTATATTAAGCACAAAGACATATTGCATAAAAACCTTATGAAGCCATGACAGCATTATGACATTGGATAAACTTTAGCCTTACAGACCAAAGGTTTCAGTATGATAACAAATGTGTTGGTTCAGCTTTTTCACAATCACATTTCTACCTGTTTTTTTCCCAGTCTAATAAAGACATTAGAAAGTTATTTTTATGCCGCTCTATTAGATTGGACTCTATGTGATCTGATGCTCTGTTTGCAGTTAGCAGCACTGCATATAATGTATATAATATTTATTTTAGGCTGTTGGATAGTGGAATATTTAACTCAGAGATAGAGGGTATAAAAATTTTCTTTAAATAAGAAACAAAAGATGATGACAACAATGATGATGATAATTGAATATGCTTAGGCAATTTACACATTTTAAGCTTCAATATAACGCACTTCAAACTAATGAGAAATCTTTAAATTATAACAATAGGAATTTATGTAAAGAATGGAAATGGAAAAGACATCCTTAAAGACAAGACAGGTACATTTCAAAGCCAAGAAATGTAGAACTTACTGCTTATTACTGTAATGCTAACTTGCAAATGGATACAGATCTTTATATTTATATATATATATACACACACAAAATGCATTCTATGGTTTGCGATTAAGCAACAAGAGTACACATAAATGCATATAGTTTGTGAAACGAAACAAATCTATGTTACTCTGATAAAACTTGCTTTTTCATTGTCTGACTTGTTTTGATATGACCCATGATGTATCCTGCTATTGTCTGAAGCGCATAAACTCTGCCATTTGCCCGAGTGACAGCCTGTACTTCATACACATTTAAGTAAATAGTCTTATATCCAACATAACTTCTATATCAATTTTCATTCTCCAATTATAGTTTATATATGTATATATTTTCATCTTAGAACATCCTGAACTGTTCCTTTTGCAAACAAAAAAATACCATCTGTGAGCATGCACATGAAAGCATGCTCAGATTTTAATTACACATCTCACTGCAAGAATGCATTCAAGAATGGGTCTAGGGACGGACATATAAAATATTCCAAAACTAGAGAGCAATGACTTCTTCTGCATGACTTTGTTTTTCTAAATGAAAATGTGTGAGCTTGGCATTTTTAAATTCTATGTCTATCACCACTTTTTGCAAGTTATAAGAAAAAAATATTTGCAATACAGTAAAATGTCACATGTTAGCAGAACTATAATTGAATTTAATTAGATTTACACATCCCAGTCAATGCTTCTGCTCTGAAAAGAAATATTTGCAGGAACTGAATGTTCTAACTCAGATGCCTAAGTTCCTAAACAGGAATGACCTAAAGGCCAAGAAGATGAAAGGATAGTCATAGAAATATTAGGACAAATTTTAAAAGACATATGTGACAAACAACACTATGAAAGTGATAAATAAAAATAGAAGTGCTTAACTTCTCTCGATGAATGACATTATCCTCACTAATTAAACACTACTTATTATTGATTGAATAAGTGTAAAGAATTACAGAAACTCATCTGTTCAATCTTTTACCGTAATTATAATTTACTTTAAACCCTTTGATTTCTCTTACTTTCTCTTTGTTTCACATGGAAAACCTAATATTCCTAATATTTTAATTTAAAGGAGCTTTTCTCCAGTGATACCAACAAATCTCCAGGGTTTATGTTTAATGCAATTTTCTACTTCTTCACTCCAAGAAAGCTGTCTTGCTATACATTAAATGCATGTTTCTACACATTCATGTTCAACAATCCTGACATTTACACTAACTTAAGTATATAAAAGGAAATATAGTATACACCACATAAAAATGCAGGATCAAAATTTATATATGGATATTTCTTCAGAAAGATCTACATACGTTCTTGTCACATCTTGTTCAATCATTGCTCGAAGCTCTTTATCCTGGAAAAATTTATTCCATAGACTCTGAAATAAGGAAAATAATTACATAAATCAGAGGCTTCTAGTAATACTTAGGGCTTATCTACTGTAACAGCAAAGTACTGTGAAAATATTAACTAATTAATCCTCAATATCCCTAGTTGATAGATATATCAATATTTTATAGGTGAAAAAGAATCAGAGATAAAAAACATTTGACTTTCTGGATCCCGGTTCCACATTCACACCATTCACTCAGCGGCGGGCTTCAGGTCTGTGGGTTTCTTGCTTACACAGACCAACRCTTCAGCTGAGAAATAATCAGTAGTTCACTGGAAAAGGTCTCTCTTTCATGGCATATTTCTCCTACAAACTTATGGGCTCTCCTTAGAAGGTGCAACAATTTTCAAGACAATGAGCTGACTGCCAGTAAGCAAGTTTGCCTTAGTGGAGGCAAATTMAAATACGGAATGCATGATGATCACACGAATACTTATTATGAAAATCACACCACTCTAATAGTACAAATACATAGTACAAATCAAGATGGGTCATTATAAAAAGCCTCTTACATAGAAAACTACAGGATTTAAAGTTCATTATCAACATTAAAATAATAGAATTCAATATTTAGCATATTTAGCTTCTTCTGTATCTGTAGTTTTGTCCATTTCCATTCTCTTCTTTTTGCTAACATGCCATATTTACCAACATTTTCCAGAAGCCAACCTGAATAAAGTCAGCAAATGTTATTTAAATGTTCCAGTCGACGCCATCACATTAGGGTAATGCTAAGGAAGCTGTTGTGTAAAGCCTATTCTTTGCAATAAAGGAATAGTAGCTTGGCAATATTGATCAAAATACAGAAGGAATATAATCCTTGCCAGTCTTTTCATTTAAGTTAGTTTTCAGATAGCAGCAGCAGTGAATGAAATATCATATGAAGAGAGTGGCTGCAATACGTCCCAAATCTATTGCTCCCTTGTAAACAATTTATTGTCATGGTGGCTTTCATGTGGTGGCTTATTTACACCCTTGATAATGTTTCACTCAAAACCAATACCTTTTTTATCTTATTTAAGATACACTGTATCTTTCTTACAGCTCTTTTAGGGCAGCTATGTCACATTTTGAGAATTGTACCCTCCCCTGCTGGTCCCTCACAGTGAAGGACAGAGAATATGGACTCTTTTAATGCCAAAAGKGAAGCAAATCCCAGAACACTATAAAAGGGCAAAACATGAAATCACTGCAGAGGGTCRTAAGTACTAAGCTCTTCACTCCTGTGACCAACGTGGTCTCTTGCTTTGTTCTACAGGTTAACTAACTGCCACATACGCTGACATTTCAACCCATAGCCTGTACCTTGTGAAGACATCATAGGCAGGAATAAGGTTGTAACACAGTGTACAATCACACACCACAGCAGAAAAAGAAATAAATCTTCTGCATTTGGGACAACTCTCTGTTCCTCTGGATGCAGGAATGGTTTGACAGTGTGGAGTCACACTAGTTGCAGGGTCCCAAATGGGCCTGTGATCAGCACTTCCGTRTTCCTACAAGCAGAGCCACTCAAACATCTCTCCTTTCACATTAAATGTGAAGCAGAGTACTACAATAAACACAAACCGATTATAAGCTTCAATTTATGTGAAAGTCTCTTTTGGTCTAAATCTCTTAAAATCAATCAAGAAGATATTTGCATGGTATAAAGTTATTTTAAAAGTAAGGTAAAGCAGAATGTTCTGAAATAGTAAAAAGAGATCAAAGTGGTAATTAGCAGAAGAGCTTGAAAGTACCATACTTAAGATGCATTCCAGTTTAAGTAAAATGCAGTTCAAACCACAGTTTCTCTCTCCCKCTTTCAAAGAAGTTGCCTAAGTTCCTAAATCTACACCTAAATCCTAATAAAAGTGCCAAATACCAAAGAAGTAGTACTTCTTGAATATCAAGTTACATTGAGCTCCTATTCATTTCAGTGAGAGCTGGATACTCAGCACCTAGGGACAATCAGATAGAAGTTTTTTGCCCCATTTCCAGTACTGAAAATCTGTCATTTTGCAGGTGGTTGCTCTCTTATAACTGTTGGATATTCTTGTGTCTTTTAACAAATGTTACAAGAGAAGAATGAAAAACCAGGAGGAAATTATTATTTAGTAGCCTCTACTTTGCACATTTACTCTACCTGCATACTAGTCAGATGTGCAGCAGTGCCTTTTTTTTTTTTTTTTTTGATAGATGAAAACTTGCCAGGTTAAACAGTATACTATTTTGTACTGTTTAAATATTCCTAAATATGCATGTTTAAAATGAAAACACACAGCAATAAATGAGTTCATCAGTGAAAGGACGGAAATTCTGTAAAATATGGTTTCTTGTTCATTATATCATTTTGTACTATAGGCACTGGAAAAAATAGAAAYAAAGAAACAAACAAACAGAAAAATAACAACCCAGAATATTAAGCTAAAAATGAGCATTTCTGATTGCCCAGGGCTTGTGAGATACTTGTTAATACAAGTCAGTTTGTTAATATGGGAGTAGAGACTTTAATTTGTCTTCTTCATCAAGACCTCTTTTTGTCAACATGATGATAATGATAAGAATTCTAGTAATACAGATGTTGAAAAAATAGGAGTCAATTTACCCCCTCATCCTGAGACAGTGGATTGTTGATGATCAGATCTTGCTGTCCTGCTTTCCGTGGGTTGGTAATATGCTGGGGGGAAAAAAAAAAAAAAGAAAAAAGTGTTTCTATTTCAAACTTTCTTCCATTAACATTCTAAGTATTATATCTATGTTCAATCATCAGAGTAGAGACCTTATTTTGTACCAACTTACAATCTCTTTGATCTTGTTGTAAGATGTTCTTAATTCTGAAGTGCTTTTAATCCATTGACTTCTGTCTTGGGGTAAAACCTCGAGAAATAACTATTAACAAAACAAAACAAACCAGTTAAGTTTAATCAATTTAATAGAGTTTTTCATGTACAAACCATCTCAGAATATGGAGGAGCAAATATTTTACAAATGTACAACTGAGGAACAGGAAGCAAAGACCTACAAAATGGTCCTGGCATGAGGTCTTGCCAATCAATAAATAAGAAGCTAGAAACCATTATAGTTCTAGAGCACATCATAAAGCATTAAAAAAATACAAAGGCACAAACTAAAGCTTTGTAAAGTTTGTATACAATATACAAAGCTTGGAATTGTTTCAATAGCATTGGTTTTTATTGAATGTAATATGCCTAAAACCAATGAATGCAGAGTAGAAACTAAAACCACTCAGAGATTATCTAAGAAATGTGGATGAGAAAAACCTTGTTCCATAGAAAACAAACTGGTTCTAGACTTCTGTGAGACAGTTAAGAGACTCAATTTTCCAAAGAGTAAATTTCAGTGGTTCATATCTCTGAGCAGGGTCAGAAATAGACACCCATTAGGGAAGGCTATTTTAAAAGATACAGAAAAAATGCAGTGTATTTTCTTGCTTTTTAAATATATCTTTATAGTTACATATTATAAAGGATTATGAAATAGTAAACATTGCCAAACAAAAGCATTTCCAAATTCATTGAAAGTAGCTAATTATTTCAGAACTTAATGAAAACATTGACAACATTTTAAAAACAGTGAGTCAAAAACAGAGCCCTAGTCCATATTGGGACATTACAAATAAAATCAGCTTCACTTTGAGATTAAAACACTGCTTGATTTAATTATTAGGCAATGTGGGACTCAGTGCTTCTGTTAGTTCAGGTGTTTGGACGTGATCTTATGCACCTCATTTTCAGGACTCAGGGAGGCACAGACACAAAATAATGCTTGTGACATATATTAATCTCGCTTCCCGTGGACAATTTTTTCATTAAGTTTGAATGTGTTCAATGGTACAAACATTCAGCTTTTCAAACTTGCTTCTTTCATATATGGAGGTGTTCATGCCAATGTCAAGTTTGTGAATTTACAAGACACAGCAATTTAAATTGTTGATATTCACATACAGCAACTTCAGTTACAAAGATAAGATGTTCCCTACTATCCAAGCTAATGAAGGACAGGATTCCTGATGTCAGTGCCACAAAGTTCGGTAGGACTTTATGCATTATCTCATTATGGTTCAGGCTTTTCCTCCCTTCTCTCCTACAACAGAAACCTCTGAGGGCCTGTGGTGTTTTAAGATTGGGAGACCTGGTTTCTTTCTCTATCTAGTCATTAAATAAGACATTAGTCCTAATTTTCTCATTACTGCTCACAGAAAGCTGCTACCAGAAGGAGCTTGTCCAAAGCAGTCTCAAGTTCCACAAAATATAAATTTTCAGACAAGCTTCCCTTTTTATTTCCCATGCATGATTTCTATGTCTCAACACCAACAGGAGATATGACTGTGTTGCACTCAATTTTATTTACACCACCCAGTGTAAAGATATTCTTTCCTAGGAATCTTTTGCTAAAATCAGCAATTCAGCTTTAAGGCAACTCAATATGATTAGCAAATGTCCTATGAATTACAAAAACGAGTAGGAAAACATTGGGATGAAGTCTCTCGGAAAATTCATGATTCTTTGCATCAATAATCTTCCAGCGCATCAGGTAATGTGTTGATATATTGCAACCACAAACTGTAAATAAATATTTTCTCTTCTTACCTTCCAGCAAACACTACGGAACCTGCTGCTTCTCAGCTGCCCATTAATCCCCTTCAGCCGTATAGTTGCCAAGTAATTGTTGTTTACAAATAGTTCTTCCCATTCTTTACTGCGTGCAAAAGCAAAAGGAAGGAACATTTAAACCAAAAAATGCCTTAGCTGATTTAAGGACTACATGACACTACATGCTGTGGATAAGTAGAGAAAAGAAACTTTTTTTAAAACATATATATTTAGTTGTGTACCATTTCTAAACGCATGGCTGTCTTTTTGGACACATTTCTTCTTTGGATTTAATGAATATGTAGATCGCTATAATTATGCCAGCTACTGAAATTCATAATGTCTATGGAGGCTATTCCATTTCCTCTAAAATGTTGGTACTGCAGTTCAGTGAATAAACAAGAAAAATGAATATTAATATAAACACATTCATGTTTCAGCTGTAGACAAAGAAGTACCTATTCCAAAAATATGCAACAGAAAAGTATACTGTTGACTGTATTAGTGCCTCACATGACTTATTTGCTTAAATGAACCTTCTTTTCTTCCTAATGTCAAGCTGGGCAGTTAAGCATAATAGAAGAAGACTTTCTTTAACATTTAGTGCTATTTACTATTGAAATCACTCTTACTTCTTTCTACATGATCAGTTTTAAAATTTTAACAGGTGCTAGCAAATTTAAAAAAACATCAAAAAATTAAAAAGCCTCACTGTATAAACTGTTAAAGGCAAGCTTGAGTACCTTGCAGTACCTATGGCTGACTAGATAAACAACCTAAATATGCCTCCCAGGCATGCAGGCACCAGGGGCCTAACACCTGTGCCTCATTAATATACAAGTAAATCTGCTCTACTGGGAAACAATTGGAAATTAATTGTCCCAAACCATCTACTGAGCTTGAATAAAAGAATTAAACCTGTATTTCCTGCATCTCCTACTGAAATGAATCTTGAGAACTGCATAAGCCATTTGATGGCGACCAAAGTAGCCAAAGACTTGCTCCCAGACCTTCCTGCAACCCGCTCTAAAAATCCAAATGGCAGTTTCAAGCTCAAGAGCTGGGTTATGTGCAAGGAAAAGCGTTTCAGGTTTATTTTCAGGGTATGTCCTTGAGGTGAAAATCTCCTTTGCTACTGTCACGTGGGAGACTATTGCTTCTCCCTGGGAGACCAAATGAAAGCAGGAAGAGGGAAACGGCTCCTGGGAGTTCAGGGGAAGATCTCAGCAGATTTTCTTCGYTAAGGAGGGTCACAGAGTAGGTTACACTGAAACGCTCTGCAAACTGTTTTTACAAACTACCCTAAATATATGCAGGTTTATTTTATTTTTTTTTTCTTAACCTTGTTTTTTTAAAAATGAAACTAGTTGTGTTCCAGATAAGGTATGATATAGTTGCTGGGGACAGTCAGGGAAGAACTAGAAAGCCAGAAAATTATGTTTCTGTTCCTCAGGGACATACTCTGGCAAGAACATGGACTACTCAGGCAGTGCTGGTGCGAGAGGTTAGGGCTGCTTTCAGCCTTTGCAAGCTGCCAGTATTCCCCCAGGACCAGGAGCAAGTAACTCCCGTGGTGTGGGGCAAGTTCCTCCCCTCCTGCCATGCCCCTCTTTYGTGAGTTGGAAAGATCTCATTTCGCTGGCTCCTGATCTCCCATGGATCCTGCCCTTTCTGCAGCGAGCTCCTTACTGTCCTTTACATGATTACACACCTCCTCTCAGTACAACGTGTGGTATAGAGCAGACACAGTTTGGGAAAAATCTGCTCCTTTCTTTTGTCTGCATTTATACTTCAGTAACTACAGTATATTATGCCCATCTAAACAAGCCTCCTGCTTCTCTCCATTTGCCACTGCGAAGTACGTAGCATYCCTGGCCATTACAGCAAGTGCCAAGCTGCCTCCTGAGGTAGCTCCATTCAACRGTGACACCTTCCCCAGTGCACACCACAGGTCAGATGCAAGAGCTCTTTACATCCATTTCAAAGTGGATTATATTCCCAGGTTTTCTTTCGAAATGCTTGTATGTCAGTTTAAACCAGTGTAACTGTGAATAGAAAGAACAGAGGGGAAAACCTCTTAAGGTTATGTTTTTTTCCACCAACTGCTGCACTGTGAGAAAGTAATTTCAACACTTCTTAAATTGCATGTGTGGATACTATGCTTTTTCTAAATTGCAATGCAATTTCATACACGTTTTGAACAAAATTACACTTAGAAGAGCCCAAACTGAAATTTGGCAAGATCGTATCTCTCCTGCATCTGCACTTGGCTGCTGGGATAACTAAAACAAAAAAGTCACAAGCAACTGAAAAAAAGATTTCAGAGTAAACCCAAGTTGGAATCTACTATAAGTTGTGGCATCTAAAATCCTTTCTGGACTGCACTTACTAATTCATTTCTCAAATATTTTGAATAAAGGCTAATAAATAAACTAGATGTCATTATTTGAGACTGTTTTCAATAATGGTAATGCGGAATAATACCATCAAGATACTTGGTTTTCATTTCTAAAAGGGTGATTTCTAGAATGATAGAGCCTTACTTTGTGAACTGGTATCTATGGGACTCTTAGACTCTGGCTTGCAGAAAACTCAACGGTCAAAGTGAAATGAGCAGTAAAGATTGGAACTCAAGTCTGTCAAAATCCACTTGCTTTGCTGAAGTGAAAGACTTCAAGAGCCAACTGGAACYGTTAAACTATCAACAAGCATATGCAGTTGTTTTTAATCAAACTAGAAAATGAAATGCATAATCATGTGTTAATATAACCTTAAGGTTGTACTATTAAAATAAAAGCAATGATAAATCTTAATGTTGGCTAGCTTGTAAATATTTTTRATTTTATATTCCTGTTTGTTTAAATATGCAACCTAACATACTATGGCACATATTGTAAAGCTTTAATAATCAAAGACCTACATAAGAAAAAAAAGTACCAATTAATGTTACTTTTAGAAACTTAATTTCACATTTCTTACTTTGCCTTCACTTGTATCTATGGCATAAAGGTCTAATATAAAATAGTTACTGGCATAAACTGCATTACTTAGATGTGGGAAATGTGCTTAATATGTACAAACTAGAAAGCAGGCAAATCAGTGGAATGGATTGTGGCCGCAGGTGATAGAACCAGACTCCGTTTCAAAGGTTTTTGCATAGTTACCTTTTTTTTTTTTTTTTTCCTATCTTTTGAAACATGCATTCATATAATAACTATAAGAATTTGGATCTGTCTGCAAAGGAATTTTACAATCAGTTCTATGCTAACAGCACATATCTGCTTAACAAAAATCAGGCCAAACTCTTAGTATATAAGTATATATAAGTATTAATAYATTATTTCCAGAAGATGTTCTAGGGGTATGATAGTTGCTAAAATAATTACCAAAAAGAGACATGTTTTTTTCTCGATTTCCCTCTTTCTTTTTTWAAAAAGAAAATTCAAGTTATTGCTAAAATCTCTCCTTAAATTCTCCGTAAAACTCAAGGGTACCTGCCACATTTCCACACTTAGTAGTTTCAGTTTAAAGCTATAGACTCTATAACCAACTTGGATTATCTAACGCTACCTTGTCTGCACTGTTTTGCTCATCTTCTMCAATTTAGATGAAGAAATAATCCAAACCCAAACAATAACAATAATAAAAATAATAATACAAATAATCTCTGTGACTGATTCAGCAAAAGCTTGTTSCTGGGTATTTTGCCATAAAGACCCTCTTCTTGAGAATTAGCAGTCCTGGGTCCAGATTAGGGGCTGGTTTACCCCATGAGCAGGATGTCATCTGGAGGGTGACACAGAACAAAAGGATCTGTGACCAGAAGTCCTTTCCAACCTTACCCATATTGTGATTCTGTCATCATATCTTGTTTGATGGTTGAAGTTTCTCTGTTCAAGTGGTATTTCCTTTGGAAATCCACTGCTGCTCAATACACATATTYGAGCATTTCTTCATCATAAACGCTTTTTCTCCTAAGAATATTTGCATGGTGCAAAAATACCCTATTCTCAGAGCTCTCAAGCACTCTCTGTGGTAAAGGTAAACAATGTGCATTTACTGCTCCATAATTTTCTTGTGGGGAATAGAACAGGGCCTCAAAATAAGCAAGTACGTGTAAGAACATCATCCCTCTAAAAACTGCTGGTTTTAGGTATGAATGTTTGTCCATGCTACATCACACATGCTTCTCAAACAAAGCAGTATTTATTTATCAAGAGGTGAGCTTCACAATCCCCTCTAAACAGCACCTGCAGAACTGTGTTTTGCAAATGACTGCATTAGCTCTGGGCAGATCTGTAGTGCTCAGTAAAAGAATATGTGGAATCCCCCAGTAAAGGTGGAGAGACTCTTTACAATAGCAATCAAAATCATCCAGCCATTTTCACAGTAATCTCTAATCCCATTTAATGATGCATGTTATTACTGCAATTTGATGTAGAAAACTAACTGGAAAACTCTCTTTTTTTTTTTTTTTTTTTTTTGGTTAAAGCCTTCCAGACTTGTACACTTATTTGAGATGTAGGGGTAGATAAAATGACCAGTGTGAAATTTCCTTGATTTGTGGTCAGCTTGAACACTGAAGGATTAAAAGAAGAACATCTCTTCCTGCCTAGAAGCTGGAAGGAAGGAGGCATAATGAGCAGGATTTTCCACTTCAATATCTAGGTAAAACCTCACATGTTCAAATACCATCTTTGAAAAGGTTAAAACCCTGAGGTGAGGTATCTTATTAGAAATCACTAGAGGGACAGTATTTTACAACTCCAGAAGAACAAGYCACTGTGAACTCCCAATTACCACACACACTTTTTCCTGAATCATTCCAAGAATGATTGTAACAAGGTGGAAAGTAATTCTGGAATTCAAATAATAGTTCCCAAAGTTTTACCAAGGCAGAGGTTGAGCCACGACACAGCAGCCAATGCATCAGGCAGAGAATGCAACCTTGGCCCATCTGCACTTACTACAAAACAGATATTCTCTATATTCAGAAAAGGAAGAAATGAAAAAGAAGAATGATATCTGCTAATCAACAGCAGTTAAATACTGTCCTTACTGATACACAGGATAAACCTGCTGATTTACACAAAAGTATGTATTTCT